GACCTTGTGATTCACCTGCCTTAGCCTTCCAAAGTGCTAGCAGTACAGGTGTGAGCCACCAGGCCCAGCCCACAAATGTTCTTAATAGCAGCTAGAATGGCGAATTATTTCTAGAAGGTTTTCAGTTGACTTTGTGTAGATCCATCAGATAAATCACTTCCTATAGGTAGCTATAGCTTTATGAAATGTATTTCTGAAGTAATAAGACTGAAGTTTTAAATGACTCCCTGATCCATGGGCTACAGAATGGATGTTGTATTAAGCAGGCATAAAAACAATAACTTTAATCTCCTGTACATCTCAATCAGAGCTTTTGGGTGGCCAGTACATTGTCAGTGAGCTGTAATATTTTGAAAGAAATCTTTTTTTCTGAGCCACAGGTCTCAACAGTGGGTTTAAAATAGCAGTAAACCATGCTGTAAGCAGATATGCTGTCATCCAGGCTTTGTTCTTCCATTTAAAGAGCACAGGCAGAGTAGATACAACATAATTCTTAAGGGATTTAGGATTTTTAGAATGGTAAGTAAGCATTGGCTTGAACTTAAAGTCATCAGCTACATTATCTCCCATTAAGAGAGTCAGCCTATGGACACATTGATGTTGTGAAGCCAGTCACTGACTTCTCCCTACCTGTGAAAAGTCCTGAATTGATTGCATCTTCTTCCAGTAGAAGGCTGTTTCATTTACATTGAACACCTGTTGTTTAGCCACCTTCCCCAGGGCTCTTAGCAAGATCTTCTGGATAACTTGCTGCAGCTTCTCATCAACGCTTGTTGCTTCACCTTCCACTTTTATGTTATGGAGGTGGCTTCTTTTCTTAAACCTCATGAACCAACATCTTCACACTTTTCCTCTGCAGCTTTCTCCTCTCATTCAACCTTCGTAGAATTAAAGAATTAGGGCGCTATTTTGGATTAGGCTTCGACTTAAGAGAATGTTATAACTGATTTGATTTTCTATGCAGATTAATAGAACTTCCTCCATGTCAGCAGTAAGGCTGTTTTGCTTTTTTACCATTTATATATTCACTGGAGAAGCACTTTTAATTTTTGTCAAGAATTTTTCTGTTCATTAACAACCTGTTTGGATCAAGAGGACTTTCAGCCTGTCTCAGCTTTTGACATGTCTTTCTCAACAAGCTTAATCATTTCTAGTTTTTGGTTTAAAGTGAGAGATGTATGACTACCATTAACTTGAACATTTAGAGGCCATGGTAGGATTATTAATTGGCCAAATTTTAGTATTACCTTGTCTCAGGGAGTAGGGAGGCGTGAAAAGAGGGTGAGAGATAGGGGAACTTCTCAGCTGGTGGAACAGTCAGAACACACGACATTTATAGATTATTAAGTTAATTAACCATCTTATATGGGTGTGTTTTGTGGCACCCCAAAACAATTGCAATAGGAACATAAATGATCACTGATTGGAGGCCACCACAACAGATAGAATAATAATGAAAAGTTATAAAATATTTACAAGAGTTTTCAAAATGTGACACAGAATGAAACCAGCCTGATTGTCCCGTAGAACTGATGTTTATGTTTTCTTTTCAGTGTGAAGCAACTGAAACTTAGCAAATCACTGTATCTGGGCAGTAAGACACCAGACCCCTCACCCTTCATGACTGCCCAACTAATCACCTGTTTGCTGTTGACCAGCTCCTCTTTCTTACCTTTTCCTAATTCCTGTTTTTGTGCATGTCGTTACATTTCTTCTCTGCCATATAAACCCCCAAGTTTTGATTTTCATTGGTCAGAAGATGGATTTGAGATCTCCCATCTCCTTGGCTGCAACACCCAATTAAAACCTTCTTCCCTAGCAATACTTGTGGTCTCACACTTTTTGTTACTTTACTTTGTAATAAATAGGTCTTGAAATCTGGTAATATATATCTTCTCTTAACTTTGTTTTTCTTATTCAAAGTAGTTTTGGCTATTCTGTGTTCATTGCCTTTCCATATAAATTTTAGAATTGCCCTGTGAATTTCTATAGAAACACGGCTGTTGGAATATTGAATGGGATTGTGTTGATGTTATTGCTCAATTTAGGGAGGATTGACATTTATCTGGTGTTGAAGTCTATGAACATGGATTTATATTTATGTTGGTATTTTTTAGTATTTTCAGCAGTGTTTTATAGTTTTTATTGTAAATGTCTTACATTTATTTTGTTAAGTTTATCCTAAGTATTTCTTAGTTTGTTGCCACTGTAAATGGTGCTTTGACAATTTCAGTTTCTAGTTGCTCATTGGTAGTGAAGAGAAATGAAATTATATTTGTATATTGATAAAGATCTTGTGATTTTAGTAGCATACCAGTAGGTTTGTTGTAGCTTGCTTAAAATTTTCTACATACACAATCATGTGTCAATTTTACTTCTTTCCTTTCCAATCTGCATCTCCCACCCCCTCCCTGTTTTTTGGCCTCACTGTGCTGGTTCTGTATTATGTTGAGTGGTAGTGTTATATATCTATTATAACTTTTACTTTATTGTAAAGAATTTTAGGTATCTAAGCTGACACATTTGACCCTCCCAAAAAAGGTGATTGAACATATAAAATGAAAGATAGCATTCTGAAAAAAATGGAAGGTGTTATAGAAATGAAATATGACATACCATTCATTCAAAACAAAGTTTTAATTTCAAGAAAAATTGTGTAATTATTTGGACAGTTTTTTATTTGATGACACATGAAAAGTATATTGAATTTTTAAGTTCATTTACTTATTTTGACAGTTGTGAAGCTCTATCTGTTGAAAGGTAAAATGAATAAATTAAGCTAACTAACTACAACTTTTGGATAAACTTTGGAGACATTAGAGTTATTGAATCTCTGTTTTACAGAGTACAAGTACCTCTAGTACTTAGAAGGGCTATAAAAGCTTAAGTATAATTGTAGTTTGTTTAATAGAAGATGAGAGGTCATTCATGACTTTCAAGAATAAGAGAAATTACTACTTATTGAGACTACATGCTGTATGTTGCCTAGTGACTACAGACTGAGTATCCCTAATTTAAAAATTCAAAATCTGAAATGCTCCAAAATTGGGAACTTTTTGAGCACCAGTATGACATCCAAAGGAAATGCTCATTGGAGCATTTTGGATTTCAGATTTTTAGATTAGGGATGCTCAGCTTGTAAATAGATACAAATATTCCAAAATCTGAAATACTTCTAGTCTCAAGTATGTCAGATAAGGGATACTCAGTATTTGTTTGTTTGTTTGTTCTTTTTTTTCCTGAGTATTCAATTGTAATATTTCATGATGTGAAATTATATTACATTTTTATGTTGGGACACATCCATGCCTATTTGTTTACTTACTGTTTATGACTGATTTTGAGAGTTGAGTATGCCCTCATTTGCATATGATCAACAAAACCTAAAATACTAATTATTTGGCTTTTTACAGAAAAAGCTTGGTAACCCCTAGTATTCTAGCTGCTTAATTAAAACTTGCCCAAACTTACTATTATATGCTATTGCTTGTTAAATATTTTTACATTAAAGAGAGGTATAAATTATAAATAAATAAAATTAAACTATAAATTATAAATAAATATAGACTACTTGAAATAGCTGTCTTGCTAATTGCATTATTTCAAGCAGATATATTTCTGTAGATTTAGTTTCATACATTTTTATATATAATATATTCATATATAATTATATATTTTATGTATAATATATATTTTATATGTTTATAATTTATAAATTTTATATATTTATAAAATATGTATTATACATATTTACAATGAGAGCATGATAATTTGGTATTTGCTTTTATAATGGTTATGATTTGTTTTTAAGATTTTGCTTACTAGATATTAATTACAGAAACCTTGATCTGTACTCTTTCTGAATTAAATATAATTTGAAGACACCATGGTATAAATCAGCAGTTACCAAAATGTCTGGATTCATGGTACCTTTAATGTCTTAGTAATATTTTCACAGTGCCCCAGGGCAAAAGAAGCACTGTGTAAGCAAACCCTGAGATCAACGTTTTTTTTTTTTTTTTTTTGGGAGACAGAGTCTCTCTCTGTTGCCAGCCTGGGGTGCAGTGGCTCAATCCCAGTTCACTGCAATCTCTACCTCTACCAGTTCAAGTATTCCAGTTCTGTGGTTTACTATAATTGTGGAGACAGGTAGATTAAAGAATTGGCTTACATAATTATAGGGCCTGGTAAGTCTGAATTTTGTTGAGCAGGCTGGAAACTCAGACAAGATTTCTGTCTTGAGGCAAAATTTCTTTTTTCCTGGGCATACTGTTTTTGCTCTTAGGGTTTTCAATGAATTGGATGAAGCCCCACCCACATTATTATCTAGGACATTATCCTTTACTTAGAGTCAACTGATTGTAAATGTTAATCACATCTACATAATACTGTCACGACAGCATCTAGCCTAGTGTTTGACCAAACAACTCAGCACCTTAGCCTAGCAGAATTTACACATAAAATTAGCCATCACATTCTGTATTATGTTAATTTGTTTTAGCATCATTTTTAGTGTAGTATACAAATGTCTTAGGAAATCATTTGTTTTCTGTTGAAACTCTGCAGTTTGAGTTTGCAACTTGTCATCTCCTCTGAGAGTAGCAGCAAATTAGTCTAGCAAATTAGAGAACATTGAAAAATAATAATCCAATTGAATAAACTATAATCTAAGTACAAGTTGACAGTTTTGAAAAATGCATGTTTTTTTCATTGTGCCAGATTGGCAGTGATTTATTAAATATTACTAAAATCACTCATTGGCTACATACATGTTTTAAGTAAGTCTTTTTAATGCTCAGGATTAATTAGAGTCAGTTTCTGGTTTTTTTCAAATTGTCCATTTCCAGTTTGTGACTTAGCCCCACTTCAAGTATTCCAGTTATGTGGTCTACTATAATTGAATTTTAACCATGACTTTGGAGGTTTTGTCCTTCAAAAGTACTTATCCACAAGTAAAATATATTTTAGGTATTTTCAGATGCCTCCTCCTCTTGTTTTAGATGGACCAGCTTTTGGGAAATATGATCGAAATGTGGGTTGATCGAATGGACAACATTACCCAGCCCGAAAGAAGAAAACTTTCAGCTTTGGCTTTGCTTTCTCTTCTGCCATCTGATAATAGGTAAGGGAATGTTTTCTTAAAAGTTGTTTCTTTCAAGCATCAAAATGGAAACACTATTTTTGGCCATCAGTATTGCAGTGTGTTGCTGGGCCGTACTTATCTATATATGGATGTGAATTTTATTAGTTGATAATGATGTGGTAAGTGTTGGTCCAGGTCTAGAAAGCAGTGAGTGGGATTGTACTCTTGGATGGTGGGGGCTGTAGTTTATTTTGGTTGTATTCATTTTACAAGCTTATTTCATTCTTGCCTGAATTTCCATTTTTCATAATGACTGCATTTTATTAGACTAATCTTCAGCCCTCTTTTTACATAGACATCAAATATCTAACATTTTAAAGTCAATAGCACTTCGTAAAGTATAAAGTATGGTAATTCAAGAGTATTGTTAGTTTTGTTTTCTTTTTATTTTGGATTACTTCTAAGGAACTTTGCAGGTTGTTTTTCTCTCCTAAAAATTCTCACTTCCAAAAAGCAAATACAAAATGCTTTCATTTGGCCATTTAAAGAAGAATATGTATGTTTGTCTTAATTCCTATTTTGTGGAGTTTGGCATGAAATACTTTTAAAAATAAACTTTGACAGTCAGTACTTAGTTCTCCTTCACACTGTAGACTTTTAAAAGTGGTGGCAGGTATATAAGTAACACTGAGATTGTTTGATGAATCTTCCTCATTACATTTTCTGGGCAACTGTACATGGATGCGGTATGGGACATTGCTTATACTTTTGATTTAGTCAGCTTGATTGAGCTTTGTATCAGTGCACACACCTGGAGTCCCCTTCTTTTTCATAGCAAAGTTATGGATTTCTTTTAGTGCATGGTCAGCACATTTCTTGAAACCCACTTCATGAATGCATTTATGAATGTTGGTGGTATATTCTCAGGTCACCACCTTGTTGATGGCATAACAGCTTTTCTTGCTGCCCTTCTGTACCAAAGCCATTCTGCTGGGCCACTGTTTTTTTGTACGTTTAATTCTAAAGCCTTAAAAGCAGGTCTCAGGGCTTGATGTTGTATGAAAAGAATAATGATACTACATTAGATCTTTATGTCTTAGGGCAGTGGTCCCCAGCCTTTTTGGCAGTAGGGAGCGGTTTTGTGGAAGACAGTTTTTCTATGGACTGGGGAGGCAGAATGAAACTATTCCACCTCAGATCATCAGGCATTAGATTCTCATAAGGAGCATGCAACCTAGATCCCTCGCATGTACCGTTCTCAATAAGGTTACTGCTCCTATGAGAAACTAATGCCACCACTGATCAGACAGGAGGCAGAGCTCAGGCGATAATGCTTGCTTGCCCTCTGCTAACTTCCTGCTGTGCAGCCTGATTCCTAATAGACCATGGACTGGTTGGTACCAGTCCATGGCCCAGGGGTTGGGGAACAGTGTCTTAGGGAATTTTTAGAGCATATTTATTCTAGTGATAGGTTAGTGACATAAAGTCCAGTTTTAGAAATCCTTACTTGTTCTTTATGTGTTATTTACTTCTATGATAATTTGTATTAAGGACATATGTAATTATTTTGTCTCAACATCATAACAGTAGATAATACTTACCAAATGCCGTATACTTTCCTAACTGCTTTATGTTGATACTTAATTCTTAAAACAGCCCCATGAGGTATCGACATGATGATTATCCCTTCTTACATAGCAAACAATTACTTAAAAATGTTGAGTAACATTTCTAAGGTACAAGATCTAGCGTTTGGCATGGCATAAGTCAATTTGAACCTGAGCTGCTTAACACCAGGAATGCCTCTTTTAACCACCAGGTGATATTGCTTCTTCCCAGGTGGATACACACAAGATGAACGGATTTCCTCACTAGGAAATGGTGTGGCATCTTATTTATTTTTGAAAGCCAAATTTACCTACATGTTAGCTGATTGGTGTTTCTTTCTCTCAGTGGAAAAACAGTGACTTGAGAATTATTCAGGCTTTTAATATTTAAATGTTAAAGAATGTAGTCCTTGGTAGTAGTCGGCACTCTAAATGTTGGTTAGATAAATTAATGAATAGAAAGAAATGAATTAATAATTGGAGAGTTTTCTCCAATATGAAGTTCTGAGATTATTGAAAGAAAGCTAGAAATGGTGGGGGTTAAGTGTACAAAGATACCTAATTGTATCAGAAACATTCATTTTACATTTTTAATGAGAATACTATTTGCTTCAACATATAATGTTATGTAAGTGTGTGGTTGTTCAAAACCATTTTTGACATGTACGTTGTGGAAATTTAATATATGCTGAGTATCCTTTATCCAAAATATTTTTTTCAGATTTTGGATTTTTGGGATTTTGAAATATTTGCATATAGATAACAAGATATTTTGGAGATAGGACTCAAGTCTAAATGTGAAATTTATTTATATTTCATATACACCTTATACATGTAGTCTGAAGATAATTTTATATAATATTTTAAATCATTTTGTATATGAAACAAAGTACTTGTGTAAAATTTTCCACTTGTAGCATTATTGTGGTATTCAAAAAAAGTCTCGTATTTGTGCCATTTCAGATTTCAGATTTTTGGATTAGGGATGCTCAGTCTATAGTTGTCGTCTGTAAGAAAAATTAGCAGTTAGACTGGGACTTAAGTCAACTTACATAAATTGAGGGATAGGTTGTAAGACTTGAAATTCTCTTAAAAGTTGGAATTTTAAATTTAAAATTTGTGATGTAGCATTGTGATGGAAGATCAGATATTATTTTTGTTTTTAAAATGAGATACAAATCTGACAGGCATTAGCAAACTCATGTCATTTTTAAGGATACTAAGAGTCTTGAATAATGTGGTAGTAGAATTTTAAGGAATAATGATTTAACTTCATAATATCCTTAATAGACTAGTGATGAAACATTGATATAGAAAATCTGTGTCATCCTGTAACAATCTGAAAAAGACCACGTTTATTGCACTAGAAATTTTCCACATAGTAATTGACTTATGACTCAGGGAAATTTATAGTCACATGCACTTGTGGAATGTGCTGATATTCAGGTCAGTAGTTTTATTGTTTCCTGTTTGTAACCTTTCTTCCAGTTAACTACATAGCTGTTGGAGTTTGGGGAAATTTTTTCTCTTCTGCATTCCCAATGATGATTTCTTATTTTCTACGTAATAGTAATTTCCTATTCTTGTGTTTCTTTTAGATTTTGCAGCATACCGTTTCCTTTTCCCAAAATAAGGCATGTCTAAAGTGTGATGTTGATGATTTTGAAAGTCAGGCTAAATTGGGAAATGTTGTTTTAGTCTCCTTTTATTATGATGGCATTTGGGTCCAGATGATTATTTTTTATGGGGGGAGTGTCCTGCACATTGTAGGATGTTTAGCATCATCCCTGGCCACTACCTACTGGATGCAGGTAGTACTCTCCTCTTCCTCCCACACCTTCAAGTCACAGCAGTTGAAACTATCATCAGATATTGTCATTAGATATCCCTGGAGACAAATGGTTAAACTCTCTTTTACTCTAATCCACTACTTTTGGTTTAGAAATTTGGTGAAGCCTATAGACTTTAGGTCCACACTCAAATCCCAGGGCCACCAGTCACTTGCTAATGACCGTGGTCAAGTTACTTAACTCCCCTGTGCCTGTTTCCTTGTTCTTAAAATGGGGGTAGTAATAGTATCTTTCCAGTGAGGTTATTGTAAGGATTACGACTGAGTTTACATATGTAAGGTCAAACTGTCTACATAGATGGAGTTGCTGTCCTTATTTCACCCCCGTCTTTTTCCCATCCATTTAATGCAGTACCTAATTCTAAAAGATGATTTAAATGGGAAAGATACATTTTTGCATCTGAAATACATAGTAAATTTTGTATTAAGAAAATGGACCTAAAGAAGTAACCAAATTCAGGACAGCACAGTGGGCTCACGCCTGTAATCCCAGCACTTTTGGAGGCTGAGGCTGGCAGATCATATGAGGTCCGGACTTTGAGACCTGCCTGGGCCAACATGGTGAAACCCAATCTCTACTAAAAATACAGAAATTAGCCAGGTGTGGTGGCGCACACTTGTAATTCTAGCTATTCAGGAGGCTGAGGCAGGAGAATTGCCTGAATCCAGGAGGCAGAGGTTGCAGTAAACCAGTACCGTGCGACTGTACACCAGTCTGGGCAACAGAGTGAGACTCTGTCTCAAGAAAAACAAAACTGATGACATTTTAATTTCGATCATTAAGAAAATAAGCAAATGAACACTAAACACTCTATATGTCATCCCCCCACATTCTGATTTTTTGATGTCTCAGTTTACATCTTTTTGTATTGCTATCTCTTAACAAATTGTTGTTATTTTTCTTAATTTTTTTTTTTTTTTTATACTTTAAGTTCCAGGATACAGTTGCAGAACCTGTAGGTTTGTTACATATGTGTATGTGTGCCATAGTGATTTGTTGTACCTATCAACCTGACATCTAGGATTTAAGCCCCACATGCATTAGCTATTTGTCCTAATGCTCAACCTCCCCTCTCCTGTATCCCGCAACTGGCCCCAGTGTATGTTGTTTACCTCCCTGTGTCCATGTGTTCTCATTGTTCAACTCCCACTTATGAGTGAGAGCATGCAGTGTTTGGTTTTATGTTCCTGTGTTAGTTTGCTGAGGATGATGGCTCCCAGCTTCATCCAGGTACTTGCAAAGGACATGGTCTCATTCCTTTTTTGGGGATGCATAGTATTCCATGGTGTATTTGTGCCACATTTTCTTTATCCAGTCTGTCATTGATGGGCATTTGGGTTGGTTCCATGTTTTTGCTATTGTTAATAGTCCTGCAAGAAACAAATGTGTGCATGTGTTTTTATAGTAGAATGATTCATATGCCTTTTGGTATATACACAGTAATGGGATTGGTGGGTCAAATGGTATTTCTGGTTCTAGGTCCTTGAGGAATCGCCACATGTCTTCCACAACGGTTAAACTAATTTACATTGCCCCCAGCAGTGTAAAAGTGTTTCTGTTTCTCCTCAGCCTCGCCAACATC